GTTATAGGTATCGAAGGGTATGCCCCGGCATTTCCTTCCTGCTGCTTCGAAACTTGCCGCGGTGCCGGTAACCTGGGTGAAGTCGAACTCGGACTGAGGTGGACAGCAACGGGCGGGTGCGCCGTAACAAGTCCCGAACGTTGCATCGCCAGACATCTCCAAGGAAGTTCTTTCATAGCAACATTGTTCATCTCTTTCATACTGCCCACATTCCGAGTCTCCCGACAGATCGACCCCCTGCTCCCGCCATAAGCCGCATATAGGCGTGATTTACGTCCACCAGACTGACTCTCCTACTCACACACCGTGAAAGACACCCCCGTCCGTCTCCGGTGCGTCCCTCTGCCCGCCATACCTCTCACTGTCCTCTCGCAATCAAGTCGGTGGGGTGAACACCCTCGAACCGTTCCTGGCAACGATCTAGTAAATAACTACAACGTGTCGCTCCGCGTGTCCCAAGCCTGGTGCCCAGGTCCGATCTCGCCTGCACGCCGGGGGATACGACACGCCTCTATCACCAAACCAACTCGCGTTCAGCGTCCTGTCCCCACTGCCGGCGTTAGCGCTCTTCGCGCGTAAACCCGAATGGCGTCGGGTTTATCGCCCTACCCGGCGCGGGAGGCTCACTGACGGACGGACGCGCGTGGGAGCGCCGCGTCGTGCGACGACAAGTCCAATCCACGGATATACCACGCACGATAACAAGGCAAGACGCCTTTTCCTTTTCCTTTTCCTCCTGTCCCCCCGGAATGGACGCGCGGTGCGAGGGCGAATGACGTGCCCGCCGCCCGCGGACTGGCCGAGTGGACGTCGGCGCCGGATACACACACACACAAGCAACTCGTGACACTGATAGTCACTGTCCGTCTCGCGCTCCGGATCGAGCCTGCGAACAGAGACGCAAGCACCAAGGTGGGCGCACCATTGCGTCGAGACAAGAGGTGATGGGGGGGGGGGGGGGTAACGCAAGAGACAAGCGATATGGAAGGGGGATGCGTACGGTCGTACGCAGACAGGCGCGCGTGCCGTGCACTCATCGTACGCCGGTGTAATCTGCGCGCCCGCCAAGGCCGGGTGCGATTAATTGCTGCAGAACAATGGCGGATCGGTGCACCCACACCGCGGGGCCCTGCCAGTTCCGATATCGCCACCCGCCTGGGTACGGGCCCGACCTCCGGGCTTTGTAGATGTGCTTGAAGTAGGGACGTGATACCGTAGAAGCAGCGAGTTCGCCGGCAACGACGGCTGTGTGATATAGCCTCCATGTATCGTGCTTGGATGCACAAGGGGCTCACTGCAAGTGTGCCGATCCAGCGGGACAAGCTGACTCAGCGCAATCGGTGGAACACAGGTATCGTTGCTCTTCCTACCAGAGATTCTACTGGTCAAAATACAGTCGACTCTGTTTAACCCATACCTGTCATAACCCATAACCTGTAATAACCCATAGGTTTTTGGCTTCCACCGACATGGTAGATAGTAAAAACCCATAAGTCTGCCGTATCCCATCACCCATAGCTTTTTGAAGGGTCATAACCCATAAAACAACCTATATTAGGAAGGTACAGGTCTCCTTCTCACGAGAATCTGGACCATCTGGACCCTTAATTTTTTGGTTCTCGTGGTATTTCAGAAGATAACCCATACCAGACTCAAGATTCCGTATCTAAACGGTGTCATAAACGACGTCCGGCCTATACCGGATAGGCTGTCTGTCACGCGTACTAGGTAGTCACACAATGTCACACGTTCTGGTAACCCATAGTCTGCAGAAACCCATAACTTTTCAGAAAGTCGACCCCACTGGGAGGTCACACCGCCGAACGCGTTCGCGAACCGCGAACACGAACGTCGGAGGCACGTGCAAGCCACTACACGGTGCACGTGGCGAAGTTTTGTGGCTCTGGCTACACAGACACCCCTGCTTATGATAGAATGCATTCAAAACTGATAAAACTATCAATTATGATAGTGCTGGTCCGTGAGATTGAACTCATTGGGTGGTTGGTGGAAAGTGTGGTGAGTAATCACAGCTGTTTGTGCCACAGCTTGAGCATCCTGATATTTATTCGGATGCGCCCCTCCCCTCTCCCCCCAATTCATGCCACTGGTAACAGTGTACTACTGGCAGTGTCATGCCACCACGAGCATAGTTAGTCATTGATACTGGGTCGGGTATATTCATTAAAACTACGCTGCATATTACATAATGTACACTATTCAGTGATGCGGCAAAGTAATATGTTCATACCTACCGTTGATTTCCCCAGTTTTTGCTGTCTTTTCTGCTAAGTAAGATTGCCGTGTGGCATACGCCCCGGCACAGACAACGGCGCTGGCGGGGCCTCTCCTCATGTGGCTAACAGGTTCGCCGAACTCGTCCGCGAACGCGTTATTATATGCACACTGAAAATGTGCCATATAAATCAATGTCGGCGAAAGCCAGCGCCAGCGAACAGCTACAAGTGACTTACCGTGGCTCAGGTTACGAAGGCAGCACCATAGTCGTGCGGCGCTGAAAGGCGATACCCCCGAGAAGAGCACAGCTGTTTGGGCACACAAGAAGAACTGGATGGAGACGGTGAGAGAGAGGGAAGAACGAATGAGGGAAGTCGCGACTCGCGAGGACTGTTGAAGTAGATTCGGTCGGAGCTTGAAAACACGGTATCAACAAACTCACGTGACCGCGTCGGCGCATTCAAACCCGAAGTAACGGAGGTTCGAAGCCTCTCTCCGCAAGCTGGATCTCAGGCTATTGTGTGCTGGGCGCCCTCTCGTCTGTGCTCTCTCCCCTATGCACGGTGCATTTCCTGGCTACGCTAGGACAATCGGCAATATCTGGATAGCTTCGACATCGAATAGTCGTGTTCCTGTGCAAGGCCAGGCTTCCGCTGCAAAGTAACGGCACCACGATGAGAACGCACGCGCAGCCACGTCTCCGGCTCTATCATCCACGGCGACGAGCACGACATCTTTCAAACGCCCACATCAGGCTCCCGCCATATCCATATACCTGCACGCTCGTCGTACAACTCTTCAACATGCTCGTGTCGCGTTGGCTGGTCACATGAGCAGCCTGTCTTCGAGCGCAACGACGCCAACTTCATCGTCGCTCATTCGCCCGTATTGACCGAAAGCTCAGTCTGACGACAGACAGGATGTAGATACATCAGAGAAGGGATATGCATCTGGTTCGAGACGTTTGATACGAGTAAGTCTCGTTTACCTTTTCCACACTCACTCAATACCACTGACCAAGGCTTTCTGCGCGCTACGAGCGAGTGTTGGGGTGCAGGCAAACTCCAGCCTTGGCTGGCGGAGGCGATGTATGACCACCATGGCTGGCGTTGCGAGCACCCCACAGCTGACATCTTCTAGTACGTGAGCTATACTGATGGTCACAAACAGTGCCGATCTGGGTCCATGAATGTATAATGGTATAACGGGATGCACGAGAACATGGGAGTGCGGCCGTAGCTACTGCCCCACTGTCGACACCTGATAAGCCCTGCAGTCATGCCCGAGAAGTAGTCGCGACAACTGGTAGAAGGGATAGCAGGACACAAGGACCGGACTCTGTCGGGACTTGTGGCAAAGGTTATGTATGTAGAATGTATCTACTACAAATGTCCATGATCAGATTGTATATATGTACCAAATTACATTGACTTATGACTTTGGTGTTCTCTTGTATGAGATTATGTCGGTTATATGAACTTATCCAGAACTTATCCACCCGTCATGTTCATTATATGGCCCTAGAGCCAATTATGCAAAATTATGTCTAATTTGCCAGGGAGGGTTTTCCTGATGCTCTTGTGTGCTCTTGGTGCTGCTAATTTCAAGGGAGTGTGCTCCGGGTACGTCTTGCAGCAGGACAGACTGATGGGTGGGCGCAGTACTCGCCTTACACGCGTTCAGCTCTTTGGCCGACGTCTCCCTCCCGTATCCGCTATACCCATCTCTTATACGTTCTATGGCAGCATGCATTTCCCCCGTGGCGAGCAACGTATACGACCGCACTAGGCTAGAGGAGACCCTGGTATGTTGTATCTACTTCTATCCTAGCCGACGTTTCCTCTCCTATCACACTGACATTTCCCAGAATCTTATGGCAGACGTCACGGCGAGCGCGTAGGTGTACTGCGCTACCCCCCGCGCTGTATGCGCGTCCGCATTGTCACCACACGCATTGAGACGTGCGCGATATGCGCGACCTATGATAATATGCTTTACGGGTGCACTCCCAAGGGAGTCAGTAATATGACGACGAGGCACGCCGCTGCTGCTGGACTTGCAGCAGGCGAAGGTTCGGGGGTAGGTGCAGGCAACAGCAGGGTCAGTCGTCGTACTTCGACACTTCCGGATGTTAGTCCCATCTCCGCTGATATCCCTTTCCGGAGGGGTCAGACCCTTCTCCCCGCTGCCGTTCGGTGCAGGAGCACACTTCAGTCGCTGGATTCAACGCCCCCAGTATCCCTCGCTCCAAGCTCGAACGACCGCACGTATCCACGAGGGGATATTGCACCACTCCCGCGAGCCGGTCCAGCGCACGTGTCATGGGGCACTTGACCGGTGCGGTGGTGGGTCGTAAGGAATGCAGCTATGCGGGAGTGCGCGCGCTCTGACTGTGGTGAGTCGGCGTACCCGTGCGGGATGAGGCGCTCACCTGACGAGGCTGTCTAAACTTGCAGACACGGCCCCGTCTTATTGTCCTGCGAAATAGGAGGCCGCATTGTATGCTCCTTGTTCCTCAGCAAGCCCACCGGCATACCGCTATCGCAAACTGGTCGGGCACTCGCATGCCAGCATCACACTCTATCATGCAGACCGGCAGACCGACGCGCGGGTGTGTGTCTGACACCAAGGTCCGTGAGTGTAGCTACAGGAGAGTGGTCCAGTCGTGGGCCTAGTATGGGACGCTCGTCCGATCAGGCTACCTGGACTTCCGACGCCATCTCGCATAGTCCTGCGAAGGCGAAACTGGGGTGGCGTGCTCATCAGCTTGTCCATGCACGCACGGAGCTCCAGAGACGCACAGGGTCGGCCATCGACCGAATGCAGGCTCGCCGCCCGGGCTTCGTCTGCATCCCCACCGACGACAGCTGCTTCATTTCCTCTTTCATCAGCCCGTCCTCCGAGGAGCTATCGACTGCCACCACTTGAACATCCCCGCGCGCACCGAGGGCTACCTGCTCTCCCTCCGCTTCGCCTTCGCGATATCCACCCGGCTGGCGTGGTCTCGCGATCTCGTACGCCATCCCGGCAGTGCCCCCCAGCCCCAGTCGGTGATGGACCTGCCCGCAGCCGGGGACTTCATCGCGAACGCGCTGGACGTTTCGTCGCCTCCTTCTTCGCCACGCTGACCACTGTGCCGTATAGAAGAAGGCCTGGAGCTGGACAAGGACTTGTAAGCCGCGGGGCGAGTATCTCAAGCCTGATCGGCGTATCGAGCAGCTCAAGCGTGCCTACCGTGTGGCGCGCAACCCCCAGATCCGCGCCAGCTCCCCGGGCGGGGCATAGGAAGCTTACAGTCTAGCTCACTACACCACGTTCCGTCGCGTTGAGCCGTACGTCCCATTGTGACTGAAACCCCCTGTATTGTATATCGATTTGCGCACCGGCGGGCGGCTGGATATGAAGCATTTCTGCGGCCTTTGCGAGGCTCTGCGACAGCCCAGCCCACGGGTGATGATCTGACGAACAATATCCGGACTCGGAACCCCCCATCCGGCTGGCATCATACGTGAAAGACTTGACTATAGTCCGTGAGGGATGATACGGGATGGTCCATGAGCCCTCGCTAACCGCTGCACTACTATGAGCTTACTGTCGTTGCTCGCGGCCGGGAGTATCGGGCCAAGTAGAAGTCAGGTTCACCAGTAGTTCATGTAAGAAAGTGAATTTCGCGTCGTCGAATTCATCCACGACGCACATGTCACTGCGCCGTGCCCATCGGGGAACGCTCGGTGAGAGGTGAATATAGATGGAGAACCCACACAACTTAATGCACATTGAATTATCATCGCTACCGACAGTGGGTAGTATAAGAGGGAGACTGCATTACAACTTAGGACAAATATCGCTATGGACCATCATATGCTCCACCCGCTTTCTACCGCGCTCTAGCAGCCAATTTACCAGGCTGTATTTCCAGCCTGATGCATACCCTCTGCACTCTCGTCGCTGCACGCCGCCCAGCACCCGCTGAGAGACATTCAGTGAAGGGAGTGCGCAGGGAACGAGAGTATTGAGACCCGTCGCCCACTCCTGCTTTCTAGGTCCGAGCGACCAGTGACTGCGCAAGCAATAAGATATGGGACGGACAGCTCAATCCCGTACCCAAGCTGAGTACCGTCCTAGCCCGTCTGTTCATCACCACGGCCAGCTTTGTTTGGAGACGTCCGCCGGGTCTTCGCGCCCACGACCCGCCGGTCTGGTGTGGACACGAAGGCCTCTAGCCGGGCACATCGCAACCGCATAAAACGGCGGAATGGGCCGGTCGGCCCTCGAGATCCAGGCGTATGCGCGACCCGGGCAGAAGACTCTTGTCGTCTCTCAGTGGTCGGCTTACCGCTCGAGGACCATCTCTAGAGCCGGGCACCTCTTGAATCGGTGACAAGACTCTTCAAAGTCGGTCCCGTGGGCTGGCCATCCGCTGGAATCGGAGGAGTGTGAGCGCGGGAATCGCTCGTAGGAGAGTCCTTGAGAGGGGAGAGGGTCAGTCCGCTGCATACATGTACCGAGGACCAAGAAAGACGTACATCTTCGCAGGTGGGGGCGGGTGCAGAAAGGGATCTTCGGTCGTCGCGATGTGTATGAGTGTAGGATTCGACTCGGAGATAGAGCAGTGGGATAGCACGGTGCGTCTCGCCCTCCTTTTATACTGCACACCGGTGCCACGGAGTCCCGCCTTGGCCAGCCACTGTCATGCCTCAAGGTCTCAGATCCGTAGCAGTGATATGGCCACTGCGTGTGCTTTCTCGTTCCTGACAAAGACCTCATCGGCACCCATTATGATGTGACTTCAGTGAACGTTGACATTTTGTTCCATTGAGGAAGAAACAGCATGCTAGACGGCGAGACATCCCTTAGTCATCTGCAACGATGACTGCGTCAGAGTGAGGCAATCCATGCATTGACCTGGACTATCCGACGCTCGTCACCGACCTCATCACCGCATTGCTTTGGCCTTCGCTTTGGCCATTGGGGAGGTGCATTAGCCACTGCCATTGTCCTCTGAGACTGCGGGCCCAGGCACTCCTCACGGACGCTGAGTGGCTCACCGGCATCGACCTACTCGGATCTGGCATAAACGATGCAAACGAAGCGGATTCCGCTGACACACTCTTGCGGCTCTGACTCCGCGACTGGACGTGACGACGTTGTCCCTCGCCGCCTGGCCATCCACTGGAATCGGCGCGCGATGCCAATGGGTGACCACGCCGCGATGGTCACAACGGCGTTGACAGCGCAGAGTCGCTCAGCGCAGTTGCAAAAAAAGCGCGAGTGGCGCGGACGGCGACAACTTCACCGTGGCACGGAACACGACGATGCTGTCCTCGCCGCCTGGCCATCCACTGGAATCGGCACGCAATACCAGTAGATGACCATGCCGTGACGTCAAGCAACAAATGTTTACCTTCTTATGCGCGATTTTAACGTCTCACTCGTCCTGGATGTAGATCTCCGCCATTTTGAGGTTGAATTAGTACCTTAGCCGTATTCCGCCTTGGTGGGAACTACGACGGGTCAGAGGAGAACAGGACTGCGCTAGCGGACGCGTCGCCAGAGCCCGAACTACGTGAGGAAAGTTTAGATTGGCGCGGAGGAGCGAAGAACAAGCAGTAGTTAGTATCAGATACCGAGCCCGGAGTAGTCTAGTTTCTGTTCTCGATGCTGGGGGAGTACAGGATATACCCGAGTGCGGAGCAGCGTTCGAGCGAAACGTGAACGGATCAGGCCTAGCTACAGCCATGGAGCGACCCACACTCTCCACGTAGCGTGGGAGGTGGTTCGCGGATGGGGATCGATGAGGTGGATATGCGTCGATTGCGGTTGGACGAGGATTCTGGAGGAGAGAAAGAGATCCATTCTAGAAAGGGAACGGACGTACCGGCTGGTAAGCGTTTTGAAATTACAGAACGCTCGATACCCGGGACAGCGAGATGCAGCGAAGGAGAAAGGTGCGTGTGGCCAGACCCTGAGCGCAGTGGCGCGACTAGTGTTCGGGGAGAAAGTCTGTTATAAGTTACCTCCTGCTAACTTACCGGTAAATTGCTGTAAATTACCACCCGCATCGGAAGGGGGTGCAAAAAAGGGTAAGTAATGACCGCACAAATAAGGGGTCACTGCCCGGGTGTGGTGGGATGCAAGAGGTACTGAGACAAGCACCACCGTACCAGTATTCAGCGTGTTCGAGACGTCTTCCCGGTGCATTGAGGCGTGAACGACAAAAATCATGCGAAATTTGGTATTACCGCCATACGCACGGCAATTGCCGAGACAGGCAACTTACCGTCACTTACATAGGCAAGAAACGACCTCCGGGAGGACCTGGGTAACTTACCGGTAACTTACAGGCCAAGGACTTTCTCCCGGAACACTAAACGCGACCTCACGGAACGGCAGGAGGAAGGGAAATTCCAGGAAAAGGGATCACGTATCGAGTACCGAGTAGTTCAACGCCTGGTCCCGATACTTGACGGATGGAATCGCGATGATTACGAACGCAGACAAGAATGCGAGTCCAGACGCACGGGACGGAGGAGAAGGTTTCGAAAGGGAGCAATACGAGAGAACGGGTTGGATGCAAGCCAGCGAGCACGAAAGCTCCGAGCTGGATAGCGTGGCGGTTGCAGGGTTGCAGGGCGAAAAATTCACAGGTGAGGAGAGCGCACGTAGACTTAGATACAGCACGCCCACTCGCACCAAAGCAAGAGCCAAGTTGAAGGGGATCGCCCATGTCAAGGTCAGACTCAGTCCAGGAGGAACTTCAAGTTACCGATTCATCGATTGTGTTCGGTAGCTATGGCTCTGGTACTCAACACGCTCCGTTATCTACCCTCGACATTCGCCAGAGACAGTTGACACCCACTCGACACGTCTATCGCAGAGCGACGCCTAGCAGCCGCTGGGCGACATCCTGCGAGAGAGTTGACGAGGGAAGTGGGGTACGGCGTTTGGATAGGAAAAAATGGCGGGTGGTGAATAAATCACTTCGCCATCCTTCACTTCGCGTCATTTGTCCTCGTGGAGGAGTATAGCGATATCGATCCACTCTCCGCGACACCTCAGTGCTCACGGAATGCTACGTGCGCGCGAGCCCACGAGTGCTATGACATTTCTTCGGGCTCTTGAACCGGCGACGCACGGCATTGCAAACATCACTGGCTTCGGGGTGGTGAGGAGGGTCAGGCGGTGAGGTGGCTCCGACATGCATAGGCTACTGAAGTTTGCTCCGGGCATGCGGCGAACAGTTGCTCGGGTATCGCGCAGGGTCGGCTTCAGTGTAAAAAGTGAAAATGGCCGTGGCTAACCATATTTCGGCGGGTGCGAGCTGTTCGACGTGGTGAGTGCCCCACGAGCAGGAGGTCTGTAATCTTCGTCGGCAGTCAAGAGTCGACGAATCGGGCGGACAAGTCCTCCACGACAGGTGAGTCTTGAGTCTACTTCGTGCATGAAGAGCACAGGAGCAGACTCACATCGTTGGGTATACCTCTCCCTTGTGGAGGCGCGGAGTGCTAAATAGTGTTCGCGGTGATGGCCTCGGCGGCGAGAGGATGAATAGTTCTTCTACGATCTTCGAAGGCGAGAGGATAGACACGTGGGACGACGCGTGGGGAGAGCCATCTCGCCCTCCTTTTATACCTTTTCTGATGTAGCACCGCCGCATATTTACCACAGGAACCGGCTACCTCGCGTATGTTCCGTCGCCTTCTACTCTGCCCCAGAAGGTAATCCTTGTGCAGTTGCCCGACGACCAGGACCCCGTTTCTGCGCTTCACTGCCACATTCGTTTTACCCCGGTGAGTCATGCTCTGTCTGTCTCCCAGATCCGAGATCAGATGTGGCAACATGCCCATCCTGTATGTGATTGTCCCATGAATTTCTTCACCAGTTCCAGTGATTTTGATCCCAAGACGCATAGCGAGCGAGTCAGCTCTCTGAACTATGCCTCCCCAATATTATGAGAAAACGCAAGTCAGTGTGGCTCTTGAAGCTTGAAGCCTGCATAGGGCCCTTGAGCTCACAGAAGCTGAGCCTCATACCGTCACGGTGGGAAGGAGCTTTCTCGAAAGGCCTATGAACTTTCACCCGTTCCATCTCTAGCACATAGCGCTCTACCTACCTACCTCGCTATAGCCGTCTGTATGTGGATCATCAATTCGTCTCAAAAGTGTACAGTTGAGTAGGTTGCACAATGTAAATATCTATCCCCTCTTCATAAGTCCTGTCTCTTGGATTCCGCGTCCACGGGCAGGATCATACGTTTATACGTCCTTCAAGAAGTGAGTGAATGATGCTCCCGAGTATCTCGCAACTCGCACATACTCTCCAATCCATTGTTACAGATCACGGCGTCGCGTGAGTACTAAGTTCACGCTGCGACATCCTACCATGGCTAAGTACATATACTCGCGCTAAGTAGTCCTACCATGGTAAACACCGCATATCAACTTTCATGGACACACTGTTACCCGGCATACTCTCAGCGCTCTCATCACTGCACGCCGCCCAGCGCCCGCTAGGTGAAGTTCAGGGATGGGAGCGCGTAGGGAAGGCGAGTGTTGAGAGTTCTCCTCTTTTATCCGTCCTTGTTCTTCCTTCCTTGCCAGGGTAAGTCAGAGGCGAAGAGGTACTACCACCTGTAGCTTTGGAGGGCACTCATCGCTAATATACAGCGTGTGGTATTCAATTGCCGGGTTTCTGCGCGCGACAGTAGGTAAGGTATCGAGTGGCAAGGGTCTTCGCAGGGTCCATGGCGATCGGATGTGCACCGACTACAGAGAGCGGGGGCTCGAGTTCCACGCTATGAGCGCTCTTCCAGAGCACTCTTACACGCGAGTCTTTATCCCTCCCACACCCTGTCGGACCCGAGTACCCATGACGCGAGCGATCCTCATCGCCCGGTGGGCCGAACGCTTCACGCCCCACGTCTCCGGAGAGTTACAGCGCGCGTCCTCGGGGACGATCTGCACGTTTCCTCAACTCCGTCGAGGAAGGGTGCACCAGTAGTTGTGCGAGGGGTGGCCGTCCACTGGAATCGGAGCAGTGCGAGGGGGATTTGATACCTCATGTCGGGTCTACTAGTCCATTTGGATATCCTGGAGAACAGGTAGGTCTCCAAACTTCGTGTCGCTGGGTACTGGAAGACTCACATGGCTGCTCCTGGCAGGGGTGCTACGACTGACGAGGTTCGAGAGTGGTGATGTTTATATGTAGTCAGGGAGTAGATGCGCTTATACGAGCTCGATTCGAGAAGGGAGAGTGATGGCTCTCTGCAGCATCAGCTGCCTCCTTTTATACGCGTAAGATGCCACATTGCCGGAACGACATCTCGTGGAGAATCCGCTTGGCCACGATGGCCATTCCAAGCGCGATAAAGGGTACGCTTTGTTCGTGCCTCGCATAGTCGAGGCTTCATTGCTGTGGCTCACAGTGCGTTGTCCGCGCCGATCTTTAGTAACCCAGGGTGGTACCACTTTGATGCTTCCACCCCTCGTGCCGTTGGGAGTGGATTGAATCAGTGCCCCGAAAGCCACTCTCGCCGCATTCGTCCTACCATGAAGGTAAAATAATCAATAGCATCTTCCTCGTATGGTTGTACTATCATTGGACCAGTAGTGAATAATTATTCACTTCCCGTCCCTTTTGTGCACTGGGGACTTCGTGGCTACCCTATACCTTCGGCAATTTTTTTCTGTAATGATGGATATCTGCATATACCATGTCCAAGTTTGTATATGGAACGGAGGAGTGGTCATCGCTCAGGATTTAAAACTGTCTTGCATGTCCGAGGTCTAAACGTGACAGAGCGTGACTGCTGCCCCGCCACAGCTCTATTGTGACACATGTGACATCTTATTCACTTCCCGTCCCCTTACGCCGTACAACCTCTACACCCACTGGAAAAATCTGAGAAATTTACAGATGGTGTAGAATGGTATCTGAACTATCCACACCAATTTTGGGGTACATACAATCAGAGGAAGATGACTTAACCAGTGAGCAGTTCAAATTATTCACTACTGGTCCAATGATAGTAGTAGTTCTTATCCCAAACAGGGACAAGTACCCTCATCCTCGCGATACATCCTTCATACTTGGCGGTAGGACGGTGCATGCTTAGTATAGTCTCACAAATATCCGAACCGAGACACTATCCACATTGTTATTGGGTTTTTCCCGTCTGCCGCTTTGACCCAGTGGCTCATCGAGAGGGGTTCACCCACCGCACGTTTCTCTCCCGCTGACGCTGGAACGGGCGCGCATTGACCCTTGATATCGCGCGGCTCCACGACGTGTACTACACGACGCACCGCCCTACCGAGTCCGGGGTGGACACGTCCCCTCGCCGCGTGGACATCCACCGGACGATCACCCCCTCAGCGTAACCATGTCCAGTCCGAGATGAAGTGAGCAGGATATGGCGCACGCTCTCCTACGCGTCCTGCGTACAGGATATGGCGCACGCTCTCCTACGCGTCCTGCGTACACACAGCATGGTGAGGCTGACCGCCTTCTCCGTGCGCTCCGCTGGGTTGTCAAGCCGCGGAGACACCCGCGCCAACAAGAAGACGGGCCGGGGGGTGAGCTATCTTCCGTGCCTAGGATGAGTCCCACTTCGCGCCTACCGGAGGTCAGATGTCGTCTCATAGGATTGTCAATTTCATATCCTCTTCCCGATTATGCCTTCGCTTCCTCATCGTCCATCTGCGGAGCTGGCCCTGGTCCTTAGTCAGGGGACACAGTTCTGAAAAGAAAACAAGGATAGAGATACATTAGTAGACTGAATGTTATACCGCCTCGCTATACGAGGACCCACTACTGGTGTACCCAGTCGAACAGGGAAATCAGACGATGCAATCACTGCACTGTGATTCTGGTCGCGAATAGGATTGTGGACATACGTCACAGACACGACGCCTATGGGGAACGCAAGCGGAGGTAACCCGTGCACCCATGGGCCTCGTTACGCATTTTCCTCCCCGGCAAACCTATGGGTCAAGCGTGAGCCGCCAATCCTCGACTTGATTGGATTGTACCCGGCCGATTGAAGGGCGTGGAAGAACTAGAGCAGCGCCGAGACGTTGGAACCGAGTTGGATGGAGGGAGTCCCTACGCCGAGGAATAATGGGGAATATCAGCAAAGCGACGAGAAATGGATGAACCAAGCGTACGAGAATAACCTGGGGTTATGTGTGTTTCAACTCGCAGAGATGGGATGCGCATATGCGATTGCGGGAACGTGAGACGGCAGGGGACATACCAATTGCTATAGACGGCGTGACAAGGATTCCCTACGCGTTTAGTCCACCCTGTAGACACTGGAAGATAGACGCAAGCGACGAGAAAAGAAGGGAGCAATCGTGCTGGACTGCATACGGAATCCATTCACCGTGCAATTCAAGAGAGTCCGCAAGGAAAGCACGATGAGCACTGGGAGTGCCTATGGGTCAAGAGTGTACAGCAGCGCGGATAGACAGCATGAGGACGGATTGAGAGGAGGAAGAGGAGCGTGTGGATAGAATACACAACCAATGTTGTCGAGACCGCATCACAGCCGAATCTGCGAACGTCCGTCCGTCTGCCACCGAGGTTAGGAGTATGACGTCATTTCACCGACCACCGTAACCTTATTCAGAGCCAGAGAACCTTGGATGATGTCTCTTTCCATGGTCTCGCCCAGTGCCGTTGCGTAGGTCATGGACTGTTTACACATTGCTGAGTTTCCGCGTGGCTATGTCACTGTGCGTGTTGGATCAGCATTTGCACGTCGCCTTCGGCCTCCTCAAAGCCTCACTTCCTCTCTACCGCGTATCTGTCCGAGTACGGCTGCTTCCCGCCTCGGGTACAAGGAGCTGAATCGGAGCGGGCTGGTACGACCTCGATGTTGTCTCCTCGCCCACTCCATTCGTGCAGTTCATGGCTGATTCATCTTTCCGGAGGGAGGGAATTTGACCGCAGCAAGCTGAGTCAGGTCCCGTATGTACGTCTATCCCTCTCTTCTTTCGCTCTTCTCTCATTCTCGTATGCCCGAGAATCTTTCTCTTCGCCTTCGGGTGGAGGGGGGTCGGGTCAACACTCAAGACCACACAGTTGCGTAATGCCACGATCCGGCGGACTCCACGCCACGCGCTATCCACTTCAGGCCACCGCTGACGGAGAGCGGCGTGAGCGGAAACTCATGGCACGCAGTTGACACACCACTGCGCCCACCAATCACGCGGAGGAAAGAAACCGCGCGAACTCACAACTTCGGCTGGCGTACGTTACGGAGCCATCCTGTGGGCCCATGTCTGCAATGCCTCTCTCCGCATCCTCGAACGACCGCAGGTATTCACGAAGCACTTCTGCCATCCCCCGCGAGCCGGCCCAGCGCGCCCGTGCACGGACTCGCTCGACCGGCGCGCGGGTGTGGTGCCGTCACGACGGAGGATGTAGCTCAAGGAGTTTAAACATAGTGAATCGTTGTAATGGACGCTCGCCGTGCGTTTGGCGCCTTCCAGCTTATAAGCTACCCTGCCGTCCGCCGCGAATTGTTGATCCAGGCCCGGCATATAAGCCCTGCGGGGCAGGAGCAGTGTGGTGTGCTTCATAACATGACCTCGCCCGCGTTCCGCGGCCTCCATGGATCATCATAGGCTTCCACGACAGACGACTATGACAATTCATGGAGACGTCCGGAGCGTACGCTGTCACCCGCTTCCGAAGCGTGAGCGCCGCCGCGAGTCATGTTCTGTTGTGTCCACTCACCGCTGAGTGTGGCTGGTCGTATACGCGCAACACCGCCCTCGCCATGGGTCAATAGTAACCTGTGCGGCATCCGCCTCTGGGGTGCCGCGCCCACGTCGTCGGTGTCGACGCGAAGAGTCTGCGTCTTGCATGGTCCGGAATCGTGATGACATACATACCGGTTATCGCGCCGTTGGATATGGTAGAGGCGAGCCCGAAGAAGGAAACGCCCCCTCCTTTTGAAGGGCCCACAAGTATAGGACGCCGCGCACCCGGAGCATGGCGTGCCCTCACTGGCCTCGACGCAGGGCATTCAGGTGTTCGTCGATAGCTCGGCAGGCCATAGGATGCTCCGTGTCGAGCGTGCGCCCGTGAAAGAGGTTTGTAATCTTCGCTTTAGGGCGTCAGCGGCGTGTCTGGCGGGTCCTGGAGACCGAGTGAGTGTGCTCGACCCACGGAGAGAGCGGCGCAGGGCGCACATTGTCTCCAACCCCTCTCCCGTTGGCAGATACAGTGCGGATGCGACTGTTGCTCGCAGTGCTGAAGAAAGACGGCGAGAAGGCCGTCTCAGGCGACGAGTCCGAGGGAGTGTAGTGAGTCCCCGACCCGATTTTTATATCGTTCGCTGTGTGGCTTCGTCAATCTCTGCCACGAGAACACGTTGCCTTACACGTATTCCGTTGCCTTCTGATTCGCTCGAAATGGCAACCCTTGTGCGTCCTTCTGGGAACCAGCACCCTTCTTTGTCAACCCGTGGCAACTTACCCGAGTCACCCCCTAAACTCCTGACATCTGAGATTCGTGGCCACATCTCACATCCCATCTAGAGTCTCAATATATTCCCAGAAGCGACACATGGGAGACGTCTCTTGGATTCATCATAGCCGATATCTCACCTCTCGTATCAACTATCACGATGTGCAATACTAGTGGAAACTGCGCTGGCTGCGACAGTTGGAGCCCAACGAAGCGTGGCTAACCGACATGGCCAGACCCTGCATCGCGGTATATCTCCACTCCGTTCACGTTACAATGCTGAATAAAGCGCTCTAATCTCTCCAATGGCTATTGCCAGCCATAGTTATCGCGGAGTCGAAGGGAGTGGAATATGGCAGCAGCATTCTCGCAATACGACTGTTCCCGTGCATCCCGTTCATAACACACCGCGAGCCCACTCTAGTTATGTTTTGTCCCGACTGGGTTACTGATAGGAGGGCGTCATTGGAAAGAGCGTGCGCATACAGGATAGTCTGGCGGCAGTCGTCGTTCCAGACAACCGCACTCGTCAAGTACTCATCGTCTACTGCAAAATCCGTTGCTTTCGCAGTGGACTGGATACTCACCACTCCGATTCTTCGCGCCCGCACGAATTATGAATTGCGGTGGGAAGTAGTGCATGTAGCAAGAGTTGGTCCCTCTGGGTACGTTCTGGAGTCACGTACCGTTGATCCCCCGAATCTCGCAAATTCAACAGCCTGTACCTCAAGCTGCACATTCCAAAGAAATATACATAAGTACGCAAAAAGGTACGTAATATCTCAGACTACGAGTCGTTGCCTGGGCCGACACCGTCGACTGGCACGTCCGCGACAATCTCATCACTGAATGCCACCAAGAGGTGCCTGGAGACATCCAGAGCGCGTATGACATCCGTTCGCACACATTGTTCCTTCTCGTCTGCGTACAGATCGACAACGGCGTCGCTGTGTACGCAGACGAAGAGGGGCGTAATGACGTGTGTTGGTCCCTATCATCGAGCTTTCCCCACTCAAAGGCTTTAATGTGCGTGTAAGACAGATACTGAGCTGCCATCGTGGCGATCTTCGGCACCGCTTCATGGCAGGTGTTGCGATGCTGAAGGCGGCTCAGGGTACACCCTGGACCGCCTTACACGCCTGCATCGATAGGTCGGGGAGGTTGGCCATCCGCTGGAATCGGTCAATTGAAATGAGCATTGAATGTTTCGCAGGGAGCATAAGTTGCTTGCTTGTCCTGGTGAGGAGGTGAGTCTCAGGACGTCTAGTCATGAGGGATATCAGAGGGCTTACATAGTTGTTGATGATATACGGGTTGTTGCTTGAGAGTTGGTGTATCGAAGTCCGGTTGCAAGACAGATGAACGAGGGTCAGATGCGAGGAGAGCGATGGGTCTCCACCGCTCTCTTCTGCCCCTTTTATATTTCTTCACAAGCTGCAGGAATGCCACATGACGCCATAGTGACCCCACGGCCACTCGTGTCGGTGACATCCTCCTAACCCGCGGACAAGATTGCCTCACTTTATTCGATGCCATACAAAGTAGGATCAGCCACTTTAAATGTTCCATTGGTATGCCTCGAAAGGCAGTTAATCAGCAAACGTTGGCCCGATAATCTGGGACTGCCCAAACCGCTCCGGACTTACTCCTTCATGGCTATTGTTATTCATTCCAGTATTGGTAGGAATCATGCCTCCACTGCAGCACGCACCGAACACATTCTGACAATGTACTGACCGAGACGTTCCAGAGGAAGCACTATTGTCTGCGGCAGCTAGCTTTCCGCATTGTCCACTCGCTGAGTGGCATTGGCCTTGGACATCGACTATTGTCCGCTCCGACTGGGCGCTTTGGCCGCTGGCTAAGCGCGTGTGCATTGGCCCTTCATATCAGTGGCTCGCCGGCGAAGATGTTATACCTTATAAAAGGCTCTCCGAACCGGTGAGCAATCTCTACAAGCCAGACCCCGGCGTGGAGAGGGCTACGTTATCCTCGCTGCCTGGCCATCCACTGGAATCGGCGTGCGATACCAGTAGGTGACCAAGCCGCGATGTTAACACATCGAATTACAGAGGGGCTGCGAATTCCGACCGCTGTTCCTGTAGGATGCATTCTGCATGCATGTGTCGCTGTAGTTCGCTGTGTGACACGATGTCAAGTCACTGCCACCCACTATTGACCTAAATCATGTGTACCCACCATCCGAGTCCACCGCACGCAGCGGACACTTGAGCCGGGTGTTGTACTTTCACTGGCCCATCGACCATTGAATCGTATCGATATCACCCGTGTACTTCGTGTGCGCCCCTCTCGTTTTACCCATCACTGAGGCTGAGCTTCCCCTTGTCCAGCCCGCGCATGTGAAACGCATTTACCCCTCATCGGCAACAGATAGGTCAAAGCGAGATCTTTCACTCACACAAGCAAGAGCCGCGGACTCATATCACTCTGTACGTCGTCGTCTTGCCGCCCGGCATCGCATCGCACGCCAACGCCCAGCGACAAAGCCCGGAAAAGACAGTGGTGCCCTTACAATCGACCTCCATTCTCCGCGCGAAATCCTGAGTTTTGCGGTCTGATGACAACGATACGCGGTCTTAGAGCATCTTCATCAGGCCGCGAGTCTTCAATACCCCATCGGTATCTGATCTGAGACTTGAGAGACTGTCCGCACGTCACAGTGCAGCTATGCCAGAGACAGAGATTTTGTGCTACGACCCCTGGCGACGTGGACGCACTGGCTTTCGCGCCTCTCGGCGAGGTTCCCACTCCGTCCGGCGCACTCCCCGGGTGAAGGAGCGGTACCTCAAACCTGTCCGACATCGATAATCAGGCCCATGATACCATGCTCGCCGGCGAGAAATGCGGCAGGACGCGGTCATTCGTTCAGTAGGAGTCCCGCTCTGCTCTCAGACAAAGCACAAGTATACAACGGGATAAGCAGCCACTACAGCTGTAGAAGCAGCACCGACTCGCTCCCTTGTGCGGCCAGACCGAAACTCGCGTCATACCTTGATGCGAAAATCCAGGGTCGGCGTACGGCTCGTTGTGAGCGATAGCGAGAAGCAACCTCTTCACGATCGCGAGCAATGAAAAGGTCGCACCATGAGACAGTCCTCGCGTTTCAGCCATGTCAACGCAGATAAACGTCCCATTCAGCCTCCACAGGAACAGAGAAAAGCAACTGAGCGTGCGATGCTCCTGGACACGTCACTTCATGGACGACGCACCGCATCTCCTTGACGCGACGACAGCCACACGTCCAAGTCTACCTGCGACGGGGGCGTCAGTGAGAATAGGTAGCCTGAAATAAGCAGATCTAGTGCCAAATGATGGCAGGCCGGACATTGTACGATGCACACGGTATTCCGGATAGAGCCGCTGCAGCAATCGACGCACCGCAATGTACAGGGAAGATACAGCATCCTAGGCCCCTCGCAGCTTACGCGAGGTTATACTGGGAGTCCAAACCACGTTCTCTGCTAGAAATGAGGAGCCGGGGAGACGGACCGCTAACAATGAAATGACGGGCAAAGGCGCCATTGTATTATGCTTAGATCCAGGAGCAGACAGACCAAGGGCCGTGCGGCGGGGACAAACAGGGATCGACAGGATCGAGCGACAGTAGACAAGCTGGAATGGGACGAGACCGTTCAGCGGGGAGGAGAGGCGAGAAAAGAGAACGCTGATGTAGCGCAGCGAGTCGGATTTGCACGCGAATACCGCGAAAGACCAGGAGAGACCGTAGGACGACGAGAGTGGTGAAGCAGAGGGTGATGCAACGGACAGGAGAATAGAGGGTAGTAATGATGAGCCAGCCATATATACAGGACTCAGGAGGATGTCCTGAGTAGTATCACGTCATGTAGACACTCAGGGCTGGAAAAGCAGGCACTGGCAGAGAGACTACGGAGGTTGGAATAAGACGGGGGTGCACAGAGAATAGAGAGACCCAGGTTCCAAAGAATAGAAGAGAGACATGCTCGTAGTGAGAGAGAACGGGACAAACTGCTTGCTCAAGGATTCATTGGACGCACTTGATCTTGCCCATACCGCACCCGCCTCTGATCTCCGTCTACAGACAAACACTGACATTGTCCATTCGAGTCCGTTTGCAGTCGCGGCCCAAGGAACAATATGCACAAATTTCTAGCAGAGAGGACCGGATAATGATTGGTTGCAGAACGACAAGCGCGGCTCGCCACAGAAGTCCGCGAGTCGGCGATCCCAAGCTTGGTGGCTGCTTTTGTACCTACTCCATGTTCAACATGCTTAGTTGCCGGTGAACAGGGCCTGCGCGATGATCTCAGGTTGTGCTATGATCTACGCACTCGCTCTCATGGCTCGCTTCTGCTCTACCCAAGACATGTGTCTCTGATCCTGAAACCTAGCCAATTGATTAATACCCAGTGAAAGCATACACCTGTCATGAGATTCCCATCGACACATCTATCACCGAGCGCCGCTCAGCACTCGCTGAGGGACACCCGGTGAGGGAGGTGTGGATGGGGGTGGGGTGGGGAGTCGGATAGGATGGGGAGTGACAAATGAATCCATTCGCTCTTATCCTGTATCGCTGGATTGCTCGTTCTTGCAGAGATTCTACCAGCGACGTACACCTGGCAAACACCACAGGAAGCGCACCTCGTGTTTGAGGGCTCAATGTACGGCTTTCGTGCATCGCGACCATCGGACTTGAGCAAGAGCGTCTGCGGGTGAAGTGGCTCCGCACGGGCGTAGGGTACCGGGGAGCTGGATCTGAAAGTCGTCCAGGACTCTCCCAGGTTACCTCGGCTGAGATACGCGCCTCCTCCCAGTCCTCTAAGTCGGGCGTCGTGAGGCATAGCCACACTTCGCGGAGGCACGGCGCGCGGTGCGACGGGGCTCTGCACGCGAGGAGGAGGTCTGTAATCTTCGCTCGGGGGCGTCAGTCGATGGGTCGGGCGGTAGCGTCCTGGAAAGCAGGTAAGTCTACTCCGCGCACTCAGATTCCGAGCGCAAGCGATGAGAGCCTTACATTGTTGTGACTGAGGCTCGTGCGGTTGGTAAGTGATGAGAGGGTACGGCGTGCTTGTCCGAAGATGACACGAGTGTGGGACGGCGGATTGGCGAGCACTGTGAGCACCCAGGCCGCCTTTTATATATTTTTTGACGTGGCTCGCGGGGCCTTTGCCACAAGACACCGTGCAGGTTCTGACGTCTTCTCTGCTACAAGCGGTAACAGCCATGCGGCTTCCTGAGAACACGGTTCCTTCCCGTGTACGTTGTGGCCCGGGTGCGTGGCAACCCGTTCGTGCCTGACATCTAAGGTTCGATGCCACATCCCATATCTGCTATGTGGTCGCCTCCGCGTGTGGCTTAGCCAGTTATAGGTATTGAAAGGTATCCCCCGACAATTCCTTCCTGCTGCTTCGAAACTTACCGCGGTACCGATCCTGACCGGGGACCCTGGGTGAGGTTGAACTCGGACTTAGGTAGACAGCGACGGGGCGGGTGCGTCGTAACAAGGCCCGAACGCTGCATCGTCAGACATCTCCAAGATGTTCTTTCGTGGCAATATTGTTTGTCGCTTTCATATATTCCGAGTCTTCCGACAGATCATTCCCCTGCTCCCGACATAAGACGCATATCCTTCACATATAGGCGTGATTTACCGTCACTAGACTGACTCTACTAATCACAGACAGACGAATGTCAGCTTGAAAGACTTCACCTTCGGTCTCCAATGCATACGTCTGCTCGCCATATCTCTTCACTGCCTCAAACACATGTCCTCTTGGGATCAAGTGGGGGAACACCCTCGAACCTTTCCTGGCCATGATCTAGTAAATAACTATAACGTGGTGCTCGGGACGGTGGCGCATTTTCCAAGCCTGGTGCGTCAGGTCCGATTTTACCTGCCCGCGATCATTGATCCCAGCCGAGGGGAGCCACCGGCTAGTACGGCGGCCCCGAACACAACAAGCCTTTCTCACCAAATCAAAGAACTCGCCTCGCATTCAGAGTCCTTTTCACTGACTGCCGACATTAGCGCACTTTACTTACCGAATGGCCTCGGCAGGCGTACCCACAGCATTCTTGTCGCCCTACCCACCTCGGGATGTTCAATGACGCAGGCACGTAGGGAACTCACGTTCCACCAGGGTGTATGTGAGCGGCGAAGAGGTATGTGGAAAGTACGAGTTGTATGACTGCGAATTCCAGTTTATAGGACGCCAGACGTATGGTACAATGGCGCCATTTATGCCGGTACCTCGCTTTGAGAACCACAGGAGAGCACCTCCTCTGATCCGGAAAGCGAGGCACCGGAGTAGACCACACCCAGGGGCGTCGCGGATAAAATCTGTTGGGACGAGGCAGATCAACACGACGGCCTAAACGTTCCCTATACAACACTCACTGTCTCTCGGACTCCGGCTTATGTCTGTCTTGGTGACGCTTGACATCAAAAGACCGGTCGGTGCTGTAGGCACCGTCAGGACTGCTGTCCTTCCTCTGCATCACACTCCGGATTCCTTAAAGTGGGAAGCCCGGTGGGTTTGCCGTCCGCTGGAATCGGGGAAGTGTGAGGGTAGGACTCGGTATAGCCTTTCGGGATATCCTACAAGTTTGGAGCAGGTGAGTCAATGGTCGACTTGTACTGAGGACGTCATGAGACTCACATTGTGCCTGGAGACGCAGTTACAGTTCAAAGTCACGTAAATAGGTATGGAGTATTTTGCTAGCTTGAATACGATGGATCTAATTATGCGATGCAGACAGGGATAGCGGGATGAAATTCCTTCTCTCCCTGCGTGAGCCTTTTATCCACCTCCTGAGGGCCCATGCCAGTGCCGCCTTGGCCTCCGCTGTAACTTGTCAAACCTGCCGTGAAAGGTGAGTCCGTCTTTGTACTCGTAGCCGTTGCATGACAATTATCCGCCGTTCTGTCACCGGTCGAAACATATTGCTGTCCCGCTTCGATGGTCTTCTTCATACGCAGCGATCGTACTCGCGTCTCACAAGGCGGAGGTGCATTGCCCACCCGCTGTTGTCTTCTTAGACCTCGTGGGCCCTTGCGTATCTCCGGCGAGCTAACGACAGTTATGCAATGAGTAGCTCATGATAACGAGGAGGCGATATACAAGAGGGCGAAGCGATGAGGACGGGGGTTGAGTAGGACTGCGTTGCCTTCGCTGCCTTGCCATTCACTAGAATCGGCATGCGATACCAGTAGGTGACCACGCTGCGACATAAAATTACAAGGAGAGTAAGAATGCTTACTTTGACGCGCGATATACCCGGCGTTCTATATGCAGGCGACACCTGGATCTCCATCTTCAGTAGTCCAGTGAAGTCAGCGACTTTGAAGGACTCGAGATAAACTTCCGGCCATGCAATTACGCTTATACAAACGACTGCGTGAGGATGGAGCAGGAGAAATAGAGACAACAGCCCTGAACGAGAGAAGGGCATACATACAGGTCTCGTCTCCGCCAGGGATAAGGAAACGCGGAGATCCTGCAAGAGCACGAGCACAGAGAAGTCGAAGGGGAGAACGAGCCTGAATAAGAGGTGGGGAGAAGGAGGGTCACGATTTGGAGAGGAGTTTCTCAGAAACACCGGATGCATCCCGACTCCCATCCAGTCTAAAGTACAGGATAGTTGTTCTCGTTCCTCCACTCCGAGTCAAGGGTAGTGGCGCATGCCGACGCTCGGCAGATGCCATACACGCGAGCCTGCTGCTTCTGTCAAGAGGTCTGCCTTTCTTGGAACGTGCGAGAGCGTCGGGAGGCTCCGACGGCGACGCTAGTAATGAACAAGCCTGCATCCAAGACAGTCGTTCGCCATGCAGACTATTATTGAGGAGCGCGGTGGCAGACCTAGTCTCAGAGTTGTGTATTCCACAGAGGCAGCGGACGTGATGTTCAGGCTTAGTATTGATTACGCTGACGTTGGCATCGAAGGACGCAAGTCAGACTTCATCTCATAATGTCAGCAACAGGACTATCGTTCCGGGGACGGCAGCGAGGTCCTCAACTCCGCAGTCCCTACAACGTGCAACATTCATTCGTGCTGTCCATCTGACTCCATCAAGCATGGAAGCCTGCGAATATTTGAATTCTGCTTTATGTGTTCTACCTGCTGACCCAATCTTGCGTCGCCTGTGGTTCCGGACGCGAGCACTGACATTGAGCCTATAGAATCCTGTCCTGAGATGAGGCACTCCGAAATTGTGTTTCTATGGTTCAATTCAGCAGTCGTCTACGTCGACAGCCGCATGACCAAGTGCAAGCATGTAGAAGCAAAGGTGGCACTCACGAAAGTCCGGCGAGGCAAGTTCTCAACACAGTTTACCTTAGGCTCGAGGTTAGAGCTATTCATTTATGGTGCGTGATGATGCAGCTACGAGAATTCAGCGCCACGTCCTTGGGGTATAAATATGAAGTACTTTGGCAGATCTCTCAGTTCAACCAGCAGCTACAATGTCTGAGCCTCTTGCTAGCGGCGAGTACTACATCGAAGCCGGCGATTACACTGGAGGATCGTTCTCCAGCCGCCCTCTCGGCAAGGATGGTCAATTTGCTGTTGTACTGCCGAAGGGTTCACCCGCTACCAAGGTATTACTCGATGTCTCTTCCGAGTGACTCCTCTAAAACAGTGCCTCCTCAGTGGAATATTACAAGCACGGGTGCCGGAAAATATACGATTGCTATTGACCAGTCTTATGCTCGACCCGACGGGGACAACATCTCCCTGACTATGGACAAACGTGCGCCGTTCGAATGGACCATTATGAGGTCGGCGCCCCACCCGCCGCCCATCGGAACTGATAATTTTGGGTATGTACGACACTGTTATTCAATTTAAGATATCGCAGTTGCTTAACACACTTTAGCATCAACGTCGACGCCCAGACTCAATGGCACTATGACCTAGGGGATTCAGCGGTCGCGACTAAGGTAATTTTATCTACCACAGCCTCTTCCTTGATTATCTATTGATTCTGGTTCCGTCAGGTCACTCTCGGCAATGTCGGAGCTTCTATCTGGATTCACACTTAAATTTGTCACGTTTAATATGTCGACTGATTTAAGCAGTGTGTGTGTTTCCAACATGAATAACGTTTGATGTGTAGAACCAGTGCCTGAGATATACGGTTACATGGTCCAATACTCTTTGGATGTCATGTAGAGCATATGAGAGAGAGGTTCCGCATCCGTTACTTTGTTGCTTCCAAGTTGCGCAGGTGTAGAGAAGCGCAGGAGATACACGTTACAATAGTCCGCTACCACCTTCCTAACGCAAGATCCAGGTCAACGTGCTGGCTATTGCAGCTCACCAAGCTTCTCGAGCAACATATTTCATGATAGAAGAATGGTGAGTGGATCCGCCCGAGGACGCACATATTTACAAGTACGGACTGTGGCCCAAAACCAAATTTGATCGCAAAAGCGTCACCGTCTTGAAAAGCGAGGGATGAAAAGATTGTAGTGAGATCATGAGAGAGATGAGGCCAGCACAGGAACGTCATGAACGACTTGCTGACCGCCAGCTGACACAACGCGGGAGCTTCAGCAAGTTTCAGCAAGGTTTCAGAACGACGAGCACGAACGAACCACAAAGGCCAGATGCCATGGCCAGGAGCCAGCCCGTATTCTACCTTCGCATTTCTCTCGTCCCAGGATGCTGTTACACCCGGTATATGCACACGTCAAGCACGTTGCGCCGAAGTGAAGAACTCACGTCATATTCACGGATTACTCACCGTGAATGAAGTCAGCAGCTGCCTGAGAGACATTTCGTAGACCAAAGGTTTCCGCAGATATACCCTCGGCATTCTCATTGACCTACACCCCCTGGAGACGTTCAGTGCAGGACGCACATACAGAAGAACATATCAGAAGTCAGGAGTGGCGCACGCACATCCCTGAGAGCGGCGAGAAGGTGTGTGGAACATACGAGTCGTAAGACGAATATAAGAGCGCGGTTTACTCTGGTATCTCGCTTTTCTGACCACAGGAGAGCACATCCTCTGATCCAGAAAGCGGGGCACAGGGGTAGAAGGCACTCAGGCGCGTTGCAAGGATAGAATCTGACGGGACGAGACAGATCAGTGCAATGACTCGTGTGTGAACATTACCTATGCAACACTCATTGTCTCTCCGATTCCGGCTTAGGTGTCTGCTGGTGTCGCTTGACATCATAACACCGGCAGGTACTGTAAGCACAGTCAGTAGCTCGTGCTTCTTCTGTATTGCACTGAGGATAGATATGAAGAAGCTATCTTCTCAGGTGTGGCGAACGCATACACTTTACTTTCTGGCCGCCGGCGTGGAAACTATCAGGGACAATAGAAGAGTTCGTTCTCCCTCGCGAACGATCAAGCAGGGCTCGCAATGAAATATCGGGAGTTGGACGTCCGCTGGAATTGGAGCAGTCTGTATAGCGGCTGCTCGGGACATCCTTGGTACGATGTAAGCAAAACCTCAGATGCATATTAAGGATGTTACGAAACTCACATCTTGTCAATCAAAGGTCAGAGATACAGTTATGGGGGAGTCTGACAAACGGGTGTAAAGCATCTCCCTGGCTAGAAATATCAATTATACGATGTATATGACTATGCAATACAGACGGGATAAGTATCCGATCAGAAGGGGACTACAGATATTTACCTCGATGCGCCACGTCGTCGTCATACAGTATGTTCAGACTCGCACGTGAGGCCCAGTCAAAACCTGCTGTTTTGCCCCCGTTTACCAACCTTTAGAAGCATTTAGATAGTATTGTTACCCTTTGTAAGTCAATAAACGGCAGAATTGCTGTGTGAGTTTCCAGATCGGGATAGATGAGTCCGACTCGGAAGTATGCAAGTTGCTGCCTGCCAGCTGCGAAGTGTCGCCCGATGCACCTGTGCTTACAAGCATGTCACTTCGTCGTCGCGACTTTGCCTAAGTCGGTGCCTGCGCTGCCTGCATCATGTATGTGCGCCTGCTGCTAGTCCTACCACTGACTTGCGTCCAAGGCGATTTTTTCTGGCAATGTGACAAGTGTGACATCACACTGCCTATATGCGCTCCTTTTCGTGCTGCCCCTTTCTTCCTCCCGTCATCCGTGCTCGCTGGTCTCGACTCTCCGCTACCGCCCTTCCCGCCTTTCCGGTTACTAGGACTATCTGCTTCGGGTAGCATGTCGGCGGCCTCCTCGTTCATCGTTGCCTAGGGAATAGTGCCTCCTGGTCGAGTGCAGTGACGAGCATCAGGAAAAACCTCCGGCGCGAATCAGATATAATTAAGCACTAATCTTGTCGAAGGGTGTATGATGGAGATAATCAACATAACCTGTCTAAATTATATGCAGTATCAATAATTAGTTGTTATGTGCTCTTACTCAGATACAATTTTTAAGTTCAATTGGGCTGGAGAAGCAAAGAGATTGAATGGTACGTGCCAAGTTGGTGCCGCATGCGAGACGACGGAAGTGTGTCCGCACCGCCGACTTGGCGTACTGCATGTTCAGGTACCACAGCAGCACTTGCAAGGGCGTCGGGTGGATGAAGAAATATGTGAACAATAGAGCCTTAGAGTCAGACAAGCATAGAAACTGTTACTTAAATAAAAGACGCAGTCGCGCTCGAGTCCGTGCATGATGCATCCGAATCGTGGGGCGCGCGTCTAGCACGTGACTGTGTTGAACCCGCGTTTTACAGCTCCGCTTCAATTTACAAACTCGCGACGAAGTGTTCGGACGCGAGACTCGCGTCCGAACACTTCACTTCTTCCTCACGGTCTCACCTTCCCCTCGTCAACAAAGATGCATCCCACCGACTTCTAGGATAAGTAGCCGCTTTCAGGAGTGGCTGTATATGGTTCTGAGGGGGAGTTTGGCTCGCATCGGCTGGTCTCGGTGGTCATCGGCGTCTCGCACGTTGGCACCCACAACGGTTGTACTGCAATTGGTGAGTAATGTAGTCCTTATCAGCGGGTCAATTCCTCCTTCAAGGGTCCTGTTTGTTGTGTTTGCTGGTGCATCAGGGATGTGACTGAATGCCGAATCATGCTCCCTCCTAGCCCCTGTCTGCCTCGTGAATCTTTTGGTATCCTCCAAGTGTGGTTGTCATGCTTACCATGATCTTTGTAGCTTGAGTGTCTTTGAGTATGATATTGCTCCTTGTTTAATCAGAGTTCAGGTGAGTGCTGATGCTGAGGAATGATCTTTCTAGGCACTTGCAATGGGTCTTGTTCCCAGGTAATGTATAGTATTTGTCTATATCTATGTATAGCCATGCTGAGACACCTGCTGCTCACTCAGGAGTGCGCCGCAGGTGCTGGCGATGCTCGCAGCACTTGTCGTGCAGACCAAGAAGGCGGGCGAGGAGACGGACAACGAGGAGCGGGCCGAGGGCAAGACGGAGTCGATGCTCAAGCTCGCGGGGCACCTCTTTGTGCACTGCCGCTGTTTCCTGGCCGTCGCGGCCCAGTGCGGGGTGCCCATACCTGACAGAAGAAGTTCGGCGTTGGACCAGAGCTTGCTGTCCGAGGGCGACGAGTCGGAGGATAGGGGTAAGCCGGCAAGCACGACGATTGGGGTTGTGCATAGACCGCAGATGCGCCAGAGAGAGGCGACGGCGACGCCCCGCGCGGTGAGGAGTATGGGCGACCTGCGCACGCCCAGGCAGGGCGTGGGTGGGTGCGATGCACCGCCCGTACCATCGCTAAGAGGCACGGCGCGACCGGGACAGACGAGGCGCGCTTCAGAACATGGGCACCGCGGAGGTCAGTCCTCGATCAGCAGTATCTCATCCACATCTTCCTCTTCCTCCTCTCAGTTGATCAGGACACTCCTGATGCTGGAATTCCCAAGTGGCCCGACGCTGGCAGCGCAAGTGCTCGATGCGCTCCGGCACACGCGCTGCCGTCCCGCGAAGCTGCGCGGCGCACGCGAGGGGCTGTACAGCATGACGACGGCCCTCGCGGACGCGGTGTGCATGCTCACGAGTGCGAGCGCCATGAGCGAGGAGGAGAAGGCCGCGCTGCTCAGGTCGGCGATGGGCGCGCTCAAGGTGGCCGCGGACTGCGCCGCGGCGGTGAAACTCTTCTTGAACCGCACGGCGGTGGGCGAGTGCGGGCTGGTGGTGCACCTGCCCAGGCCGGGGCAGACGAGCCCCGTCGTGGGCCCGCGGGCGAAGGTGGTGTTCGAGGAGGCAAAGGGCGAGGCGAGCCCGGTGGGGATGCTCGGGCAGCGGTTCGTGGAGATGGAGGACGAGGATGGGACCATCCAGGCCTTCACTGATGCAGAATCAACATGGTAATGTAGGTTGCATCCGTAACCACACCTTCTGCCGTCATTGCGGCTGCATGTGCCCGTTGGTATGCCCGAGAGCTCATGGTGGACGTGTGTCAGTGAGGTGTTGTTTGGTCAAGGCCAAATGTAAGGATACTGTAGATGCATATGTAGACTGGACCTTTGTTCATAGATAAGAAGAATACATATTTTACTGCATCATGATACCTGTAGATTTCTGAAGCCTAATCCATTGCAAACTACTGATAAATGGCCTCTTATAACACATTATGCTGCTGTAATCATTACTAATTAGATATAAAGTGTCGGGAGGCCAGCGTTGGCTGTCTAATTAGAACTAACGTTATAATTGGTCTGATTCCCAGTAATCAGATGTAATTGGAACTGAAAAGAGGAGATTCTGTCTGATCATCCCGGGGGGTTTTCCCTGATGTGAGTAAGACGTCGGGAAAAGGAGGGTCACGGTGGAGGGACTGGTTTCACAGTGGTATCACGCACGGCATGCCACATCCCATGCAGTCTATACATGCTACTTGTGCTCTTTTCTCTACTCAGATTTGCCGGGGGACGTCGAGGATTGCATCGTGTAGTCACGTATGCCGAAGCTCGGCAGATGCCATCCACGAGCCTGCCTCTTCTGGCATGCATTTGCCTTTCTTGGAACGCGCGCTTGCGATCCGAATACTAAAGCTGAACAAATAGCCATTGAGGAAAGAGGTTTGTCGGGCTAAGTCTTATTTAGAAGGGGCAGTATCAGACCTGGTTCAGGGCGACGTATTCAACGTACTGGACAGCGGACGTGACGTTCAATTGTCCGTTAAACTTGTCATTGCAGCGTTATTGCTTCTGATCACGAGGGTTGATATCGGCATCGAAGGACCCTAGCGCGACCTCATCTCCCAATGTCAGTTAAAGGGCTCTGAAGCCGGAGAATGAGTATTAAGTGGGCTCGAAGAACCTCCACTCCCAAGTCCTTGGAACGTGCAACATACATTAATATTGCTGCTGTCCGTCAAGCATGGAAGTCTGTGAAGATATCAATTATGCTGCATGTGCTATACCTGCTGACCCATGATTGTATTGCCTGTTGTCCCAGATGCGATAAATGCCATTGTGACTATTGAACCCTGACCGGAGCTGAGGATCTCCGAGTACGTATTCTCATGGTTTCATTCATTGGTCGTCTAAGTCGAGAGCTGCATGACCAATGGACAACATACCTAAGCGAAAGCCGTACTCTTGACTGTCACTCGTGGATAGTCACCAGCCCAATTCATGAGTAGAGCTATCCATTCATGATGTGTGATGATGCAACTTTGCCAATGCACCGCCACGTATCTGGGGTATAAGTACGGACTACTTACCCAGGTCTCTCAGTTCAACCAGCAGCTACACAACAACAATGTCTGAGCCTCTTCCCAGCGGCGAGTACTTCATCGAGGCGGGCGATTACACTGGCGGATCGTTCTCCAGCCGCCCTCTCGGCAAGGATGGTCAGTTTGCAGTCGTACTGCCCAAGGGTGCATCCGCTACGAAGGTCAATTACTCGAGAATTTTTCGACCTACTCCTCTAAAAACAGCATTTTTTTAGTGGACTATCACGAGTACTAGTGACGGGAAATACACGATCTCTATCGACCAGTTCCATGCTCGACCCGACGGGGACAACATCTCCCTGACTAATGATAGACGTGCTCCGTTCGAATGGACCATTTTGAGGACCGCACCCAGCCCTCCGCCCATTGGGAGTGATAATTTCGGGTATGTGCCAGGTTATTCAATTTAAGGCCACGGCACTTGCTCAAATATTCCCTAGCATCAACGTCAACCCCGAGGCTCAATGGCACTATGACCTAGGGGATTCAGCGGATGCACCTAAGGTACCTTTATCTACGGTAACCTTTCCTTTCATTTTCTAACGAGTTTGATTTTGTCAGGTCACTCTAGGCGATGTTGGATCTTCTATCTGGATCCACGCCTAAATGTATCACCCTCGATACTTCCACGAGGGCTGTTGTTTTCAATTGTACGAAGAAGTCCTGAGTTACCAATACGAAGAACTTCTTGCTGCATAGAATCATAAGACAGCCACAGAGTCCGGTTCCCGACGTACTTCATGTCGACTGTATGAGAAAGGCTCTGCATCCGCTAATTTTGTCAGTCACTGACTCACACAAGAGAGGCACACCTTAAGCATATGTAAAGAGGCACATAAAATATGCGTTACAACAGTCTGTTACCACATTACTGGCGGTGACACATAAGTGGCAAGTGCGCGCGGGGGGGGGGGGGTAAAGGATCGATATTTCCGACCACAACTTCAGTGACAAAAAATGATGCTCAATAACTCGCTGTGTGATCGGGCTTTGGGCCTCCCCAGTCTCAGTGAACGCTCTAGTCAAATACGTCAATCGGAAAGGTTGAAAACCTGCATAACAACCAGCGCGGCGGCTTCAGCAAACGCGACGGACATAATCGAACCCCAAGATACAAGCGAGGCGCTGAGGTTAGGTGTATGACGTCATCATAAGTCGTGGTCGAGGCGGCTTTTCTCGTACTCGATGCGTTCCAAGGGTAACTTGAATCGTGTCTCGTACACCTGGAAACCTGTAGCTGTGCTGTCGATAAAATCCGTGGACATCCTTTGATGAGGGACTTCCCGATGCCTCACACTCGACGCTTCGACAAATACACGCTCGTCGCTGAGCTACCCTCCTACTTCGTCCCACCATGCTCTCCGGTATTTGGGTTTCGACTCCTTGAGGACTTTGATCGCTCCTTTGCCATACATGCCTACCGGTTCCTGAGAGATTTTATAGGACATTAACAACATCTGAAAGAACACATACCTACTCCACAACGACGCGCCTCTCGCTGGGCTTGACCTAGTACCCACTGGACGAGCTCGGGGAAGGGGGTGGGATGAGGGTGGGGACTCGACTCCGACGTAGGAACATGTGATGAGTCGGGAATGAATCAGGTGCGAGTTTACCTTGAACGGCCCCATTCGAGAATCTGGAGAACACGTCAGCAGCCCGTCAACATCCTACTCTGCAGGGAGTAGTTAGGCCCCGCCTTCCCCTGGTCCTCGAGAGCGAGCCGGTTTATCAGTGTCTTCCACCTTGCGTTGTGTAGAATGTCTTAACACAACGGTGTTAATACAGCGGTAAGTCGCGTTCTGCGACACCACTCACCGTAGGCTCGGAGGACAGTTGCAATAAAGATCACGAAAGCGATCGACTTAGGGAAGTAACTCCACAGGGGCGGCCGCTGCGTGCTCAAACCCGCCGCTGCGACCTGCCCTTCATCGCTCGCTGCGTCGTCTTCCGCGTCCGCCCCTTCCTGACGCGTCTTTGTCTGGAAGCCCACTGGTATACCGTCGCTGAGCAAGTCAACGCATTTCGCCGTGGTGACGCGCGACAAGAAACCGTCTCAAACCGCCGATGGTGAGCGATCACTACGTCGTTGGCTACTACGTCGCTAGCTTGGATTCTGCGAGTCACATATCCGCGGTCCTCACGATGGTCAACGCTCTGGAAAACATCACTGGTATCTTGTGGGCGGGGAGCATCACTTCTACGACACACTGACATCTGCAGATATCGTCATCCAGGTGAACAAGGGTTAGTCGCTGCGACAGCTCGGCGTGGCAACCGAAGATGCCCAGGCTCTTCGATGCTGCCGGTGTACCGTCTATCTCTACGCATCCACATATATTCATGCGTTGACATGTGAGCGTCTTCGCTGAGTCCATGGCGTCGCATGTCGCAGGTAATACCTCTCTGCACCTTCGTGCTAGAAGTGATTGGGCGCGCGCGCGACCGTTGTTTGTACCCGCATGAGTAGCAAGCTCAGGCTCGGCGTGCCGACTGTAGAATAGGAGCTGTCGGACGTCCGTACACGCGGTACAGGACTGCCTTACGGCGCGTTCGGCGAGGTTCGCCATCCACTGGAATCGGGGCTGTGTCAGGGACGTTGGATGCCCCGCAGCCGGTGTGACTTGTTGAGTTATCCTGGCGCTGGTGAGTCTCAAGATGTGTAGCAGTGAGGCTCGCCAGATGACTTACATTGTTGTCGATGATGATAGGCGCGCTGTAACTGTCGGTACTCGAGATTTGTATCGCAGACACGAGCGCGAGGTGCGAAGAGAATGATGGTTTTCCCCCGCTCTCTTCCCCTCACTTTATAATTTTCGCGAGGGCCGCACGAATACCACACACCACAGTGGGGGATCACTTTGCTTGGAATGGCCGCCCTCTCAAGAGCGATGCAGCACCACTGGCGCGCGCTTTGCCTGAGCCAGATAGACACTTCATTGCCGAGGCTTACGGTGGGATAAAGCTTATGTTCCTTTCGTAACGGTGTGCGGGATCACGTGTTACTTCCACCGCGCGTGGCATTCGCTACGAAGAGAGGGGGGCGAACAGCAATCAGTACGCCTTGTCACTATACTCTTGGACTGTTCCCACTCCCGCGTTGGGACGGGCCAATCACGAACTCAAATCCCTCGTGTATTAAAGGATATATTTATCGTCTGTGGCATATATCGGACATACCGTCATCAGGTCGAAACCTAGAGGCTATTGTCCGGCTGCGCCGCCTTGACTTCCGCTTCATTTATGGAGAGGTGGCATTAGCTATCTACTATTGTCGTCCCGACAGATGTAGAGCGACCCGCATTGATCTTGCATATTGGAGTCGCTGGTCGGGATTGACGGTACAGAGCCTCAGTACTCAGACGGTCTGAACACCCTACTCTTCCGGGGATACAGGAAACTTAATGGGACGAGCCCCGACTTTCTATTGGATTCTAGAGTGAACTGGTTTGTCGATATCCCTGGACCATATGCAGCGGTACGAGATATTCGGGCGGATACAGCTTCACTGTTGGTTCGGGACGGATGAAAAAATAAAAATAGAAACAGCCATGGACGGAGGAGAGCCGCCCAACATGAGCTGCCTGTGTACATGTCGCATTCTTATCGAACCTGCAGTCGATTCGACATCCGCCTCCGCACCCTCGGTCGCGACCGGACGCTCCCGTGTCAGCACTATCCAGGGGCACTATGAAAGGTCGCAGGTCCCGCCGTTGGTGCCACTCGTCTCTCTTGGCGGAGGTGCCATGAAAATTCAACAAACCTTGTCTGGACAGACCCGTCTTGAGGAATCATGACCTCGTCAGCTCCTGTGGCCGCCGGAAAGCCTGAGCAGTGAGAATCGCGCATATTTTCCTCCTGGATGTAAGCCGTGAAGACGACCGGGGGAAACGTCGCCTGTGCACATACTGCAGTCATGGTGTATTACTCCGACGACACATTTACATCGGTAAGATGTCATTATCGCAGGCCTGAATTTTACGAATGCTCTCGGTGAATATCTATTCCCTCATATTTGGCCTGTATCATCGCTGTGCACGAGGTCCGAAGCCAACCGTGCTAGTATTCGCACTTGACACAAGTATGTTTCTGGGCTGATAATGCTGCAGCACCATCTCTCTACCCATACTGCATATACCGGCGCGGACGGAGTCTCAGGCTGTCTCGTTTCCACTAAGAACGAAGTGTCAAACACGCGTACGGAATACCCGCCTTCTACAGAGCTACAGCAACTGACCTAATACTCACAGATTGCTAGTGACATACAAGAAATACATCCCGAACGGACACTCTCCCAGCACAAGCTTCTCAATGTTCTCGTCACTGTGCGCAGCCAGCGCACGCTGGCCTGCGTGCAGTGAAGGGAGCGCAAGGAGAAGGTCATGGAGCTATTCCTCGGCGGTCCAAGGTCGGTGGGGCCTTTCCTTCATTCACGGGAGTCGGCAGGTCTCCAATCAGTGTGTCACAAGTCAAATCAGTCCCTAGGACTTCAACCTGAAAAAGGGGTAACTGCTTCGACATCTCGGCATGCAGTCGGAGATGGCAAGGCTTTGCGATGGAACCTGTTGACCCCGTGGTACCACTGCAAGCAAGTCTAGTCGCGATCTCCGACCGCCTTAGCGAGGTCCGAGGCGGTGGGATGAAGACGACGGATTCGAGGTGTGGCACAGGACATGGTAGGCTGTATGACGCCCGTGCATACTGTCATGGCCCTCCTTCTGGGACTCCGTGGGACCTCCCTGTACTCCTATTTACATCCGCACGAGTAGCGAGTTCAGGCACCGCGTGCGGACTCTAGAGAATGAGCTATAAGGTACGGTCCGTTCGCGTCGTGTGAGCGGTACAGACCCGCACAATCGCAGGTCCGGCAAGGTTGGCCATCCACTGGAATCGGGGGTGTGCAAGGGATGTTGGATTCCCCGTGGTGAGTATGATATGTGAGGTCTAGGAGCTGGTGAGTCTCAAGGTGCCTAGCGATAAGTTCGTCAGAGGACTTACATGTTTCGTTGCTGATGAAATGCCTGCTAACTGTTGATGCTCGGGAGTTGTGTCTTAGTCTTATTTGAAGATGGATATCGAAGTGCGAGGTGGGGGAAATGTGATTGATCTCCGCTGCTCTCGTCTTCTCCTTTTATAACTTTGGCGAGGGTCGCATGAATGCCACATAAAGGCACGCCCCGTAACGTGTTGCCACTTTCCTTGGCCACGACCGCCCTATCAATGCACAACACAGGAGCTGTAGGATGAGCTTCACCTATAGCAAGTAGAGGCAGACTTCATTGTCGAGTGGGATAATTATTCCGGTCCTTCTGTGACCCGTTATCCGGCACACTTCGGTACTTCACTCGGCCGTGGAACTCACTGAGACACGTCATCAGTGCGCGGGCGTCCCTATGCTTTGAAACTGCTCTCACTCTCGCCTTGCCATTGACGGATCCTGAGCGTAAGTGCGTGTATTAGCCCACATATGCGTCCTCTAAGATTTACGTTTGACTTATCGCATCAAAACCAAAATGGTATTGACATATGGGCCATCCGCTGGGTTTGTGACCAGGTGGGCTATGGCCACTTGCTATTGTCTACCCCAATTGTGTGTCCGGAGTTCGGGCCCCAAGCGATCCTGAAACAGACGTGCACTGACCTTGCATAACAAAGTGGCTCAATGCGCAGACGTGTAACAATAAAGCATCAGTGACCGGAGTGGTGAGGTGAAGAGGACTCGCGATATCCCAGCGAGCGCAGCAGTCAAGTTGACAGTTTCAGAAGAACAAAAGGGAAAAGGCTTGTAGCCGCTGAGGTTAGGGGTATTACGTCAACATGGATTGCGTCCATTCTTGCACTCGACGCCCAATTGCTCGACGCGCTCAGATATTACGACCTCAATCACTCCTGGGTCTACTGCTATAGATCGTTCTATAGTACATGCAACTGGCTTCACTCTTGCCGGTGTTCTGGAGTCACGTTCGTCCTGCATGCCCGTCGGTGGTCGGCCTCTCGCCCTTCGATTCTGACAAGACATCCTCAGCAACGAACCCTCTCCCAAGCCAAAAACCCTTTTATGAAAGAATTTACCTGAAATTTATACTCCCGCGGCACATCTCTCAATGGGAATAGCCAAATGTCGGCTTGGCAAAGCTCAGGGACAGGAGTGTCGTGGGGTAGGGTAGGCCTTCGGGGTGGACTCGAGCCATGGGATGGGAGTGGAACTATGTGCCGGTACAGCGCGGGATGGATTACAGATTAGCTGCCATCAGCGTACTGACATGGGTAACTCATACCTTATGCAATGGCCTCCGACTTTAATGCTGTCCTCGTAGCCCTTCCAGCTCCTGTCCGCGCGAACTGGATTACCTCTCCTCCAAACGCTTCGCGCGTCCAATCATTGGATCAGTATGATCCTCGCTGGTTTGTTTGGCTCCTTCGACGACGCGGCACATCAACCTCGTCCCTGCGCATCTGTACAAGCAAATCTTCGTGCTCTTCGCACCTCCCGACAATACTTCCACAACCAGGAATATGTCACCTAGTAGGCGGAAGAAGGTAAGGTCGAGATCAGCTAGGCATAAGATAATGCCTGTACGCACCTTGATGCGGTCCAGCGTGTCCTCTCCAATGTTACTTGAATGCCATTGAATACCAGGCCAAGGCCTTAACGGCCCTGGCATCGCGCTTGCTTCGAGATTGATGACGAATCTCAGGAGGGTAGGAGGTCTGTAATCTTCGGTTGGGGCCGTCAGTTGAGAGGTCCGGCGGAGGCCTCCTGAAGAAGGGGTAAGTTTTATTCGCTCGTGTACAGAGAAAGGACATCAGGAAAACCCTCCGTAGCTAATTAGATATAAATTATGCATGATCAGACAAAACGTAGCTTAGCCCGATAACTGGTGATGACGCGGCATAATGTTGCAAAATTATGCATGGTTATTCGGACGGTGTTCATATTGTCTGTGATTAGCTATAGTTTGAACGAGAGTTTGTTGTGGTATAGCGGGTGTTTGCACGGTCCTGGTTGCCTGCAGGGGTCATATGTTCGAGTCCGTATGTAGCTTTATTTTCGAACACGTCACCCCCTGTAGTCAACCCAAGCGCATGCGGGATGTCATTATATTGATCTGTCCAATTTTAGCACATAGTCAAAAAGGTCCTATGTTGATCAAACGACATACATGAATGCAGGGTTGTTTAGACAAATGTAGCAAACGTGTGCCGGTCTAGGAATGGGTTTACAAAGAATGCTGCCGCCAAATCTAAGACAGTGCTGCTTGTCCAGTCCCGAGGGACGACAGGACCAAACTTAGGCAAGAGATGTACACTACGTTCAATCTGAGAAACTGGTATAATACTCGCCAAGCGTTCCCCATTCTGAATTGAGCGGACAACCTTGTACATCCCCGAGTTACGGTCTGGTTCCGCAGTGAAAGCCGAGAACCATTCGACGTATGCCAGGTGATCCGGCGGTGGTCGCTTGAATAAGGTCGCGACGGCGCGAGGCAGTAAAGCGAAGACTACGCGCACTTGCGCTACTCGAAAACCTGTTGTAGAGTTGCAACGTCAAATGGACAGCATAGGCAGGGATATAAGACTCACCTTGCAACCGCGAGTTGGCATTTCCAGAAGTCCCCATATTAACGAGAACTGTATCAAACCGCGCAGGAACATCGCGCCCGCGCGAGTCTTGACGGATGGGCTTTGCATGCACTGCATCGGATGTATCAAATTCTGCAGTACGTGCGAACGGATCCCGGTTTCGAAACTTTATCTTGTGGAAGACGGGAATGGTTTGGAACCGGATGGACATGCGGTTTGCAGCATCCTCAATCTGAGCGCGCGTCAAATGTGGCTGGTGGTATTGGGCCACAAAGCGGGCGAGAGCCGCTTCGAAGTATGTTGCACCATAGTCGCTGCGGACCTCCGATAAAGGTACGGCCTTCAGGGTAGGATGTCTCGTCATACGTATATGATTCCCGGTGTCCATGGTTCCTCTTGACTTCGG